TCCAAAACTAGAATGGGCACCTCTCTAAGGTTCTCAAAATCAACTCTGTTAAATGGAAGAACATAATGCAAGTAAAAATGCTGTAACATCCTGTGTATAAAACAATATTGCTTTCCAAGTTGTCCTAAGGGTGCAGCATTTGTTACTCAGATTACCACGTGTACCTGAGATGTTAATACTGCTGCCCATGACTTAGGTATAAAGCCCAAGTCAAGCCTGTCCTTAATTGCTCTTGTGTAACCCAGTCAACATTGTATCACTGCAACTTTAATGTAAATCTGGCCTTTTAATATCTATTTTTACTGTACAACTAGGGAGGAAGGCTAGTTTAGGCTGCTTACCTTAATTTCCTTTACCTCATTCTTTGTTATGAAATCAATTAGAAGGAAGGTGATTTGGTAAGAGGGAGTGTGATACTTTAAAATAAAGTGTCACTTGCCCTCTTGTTTTCCCCACCCCTTTCTAGTTAACTGCTAATCCATTTACTACAGGTCTAAAGCTTCCTCTGGTGGGGATGACCTCTTTAGCAGGTTATAAGACTGGAATTTAAAATGGCTCAGAGATAAGAAGACCATTTTGGCTACTAGAAGCAGACAGGAGCAGAACTTGTGCAACTGGATGTATTGTTCTCTTAAAGCTGTAGTTATTCTCTTTCTACATGTGAAAAGCATTTCTAAAACACAGTAAGTGTGCTGAATAACATTCTTAACTTGTATTCACAGACTTAAGTGTTCCTATGAAAAACCACAGGAAATGCACACTCACAAGTTTGGAAGGAGCATGCAATGTAAACATTCCCAAAATTCCCCAGTATGCAGGGCTGTCTTGTCTTCCAAGTATTTAGGTCATCTTACATGAAACTTAAGAGAGTAGATGTGACCGGTAACATACTTTTCCTGGAATTGTTATGCTTCCCATTCAATAGAATATTTCAGGCTCCTCTAGGGGAAAATCTCAAGTCTGCTTTCACATTTAGAGACTGTTTAGGCGGGAAAGCCAGTGAAAGTCAGTAAGGACACTGGGGGGAAAAGTACGTAGAGATCACTTAGTTACTTGTGTGTAACAGTGCCTGCCAAAAGCCTTCTGATAGCATTTATTTTGAAGCTATGATTAATATTTAAACTTTGGTGAAACAGTCATCCTAGTTTAAAGGTAGTTGGGACCTTGTCCTCCCTTACACTGGAACTGGATGCTGCTTAGTAGGTAACTTATGTGATTGGACACCGCTTCAACTATGCCCTATTCCCATCTACTTCCAGTTAACAAAATTAATATCCTTGCTGGAGTTAGAGCTACATAGCTTTCTAGTTGAAGCTAATGCTTAAAAAGGGCTGTAAATTAGATGAAGTTCTGTCTCTTGGGCAGTGATTTCCCTTTAGCATATAAGGTAGGAAAGAGCCTTGCCTGTAAGTTGAAAGTTGCCTACAGAAGATAGGTTCATACCTCATAGTCCTTTCATGAAGCCAGGTTTCATGTTTATAGTGGAGGCTTTCCAAATACTCAAGCTCAATTCCTTGCTCCTCTTCTCTTCCCCTCATCTGTAGCCTTTCCATGCATTTCTGAAAATAAAAAAAAGAAAAGCACAAACCTAGGCATTAACCATGTGTTGAAGGTTAAATCAGCTAAATAGATCAAGGGGTCCTTAAATCAAAAGGACTAATGCTAGACACTAGTAAGCATTAATTTTAAATGTTTGGCTGAATGAGTTAAATCTAGAATAACTTTTGTTTCAAAAAATACCCAACCCAAAACACAAAGTTGAGCCACTTTAGCAGATTGTCGTAATTTCCCATACAGTCCTGAATTGAAGTTAAGTCAAACTTTACTCAGAAGTTCAATTTCAGCCTTTGATCTTTACTGAGAGTGGCAGGTGCTGGTGACCACAGCATTCGCTGACATCAGAACAGCAGTTCAGAAGGGAGGGTTCTTAATTTGGTCTCTGAATGAAATCTGAATTTATGATAGGCTTCCCATTACATTGTAGGGGGGGAGCTAATTCAGTGTTAGTCACTGCATTCATTAGTGCATAGGTTTTTATATCCCCTTAAGTTTCGGAAACAAAAGCTGCAGCTGAAAACTGTGAACGTACCTGAGGTGTAGTTCTTAGGTAGATGATGCCATCCAGTTCTAGATCAGATTCAAACTGATTCAAAAGCCATGAGTGCCAGTCCTGATAAATAGCCCACTCTGTTTCATTAATATTTCCAGACTCGAATAGGTTAGAAGCAAATACATACCTGCAGTGAAAGGCATTAGTATTAGTCTCATAGCAGGAATGACCGAAGTCAGCTACTAAAACACTTCTCAAAGGATCAGAATCATGGTACTGAAAAAATAGCTGCCTACTCTTACATCCATAAAGCATTCTCAGTACCATCCAGCTCTTTCACCTGTTGAATCAGACCTGCTCCTTGCAGATACCAGCTTAATGTGAAGTGTCACCCCAGCTCCACACCTTTATGTGCAAAGACACAGAGCTGTTAATCCGAACTCTTGTTGTGAGAGTAATTACCTATCACTGTACACAGATCTCTCGAAAAATTGCACTGGGTGTTCTGCTTCATGTAGCTTGGCTGAGACAGGCTTTAATTGTGCTCTTACGCGGCTCAAGCAAGCGTAAGTCTGAAATGTATAGGCCCATCTGGTGGGTTTATCATACAGCATTTTAAGTAGATTTCCTCCGCTCTTCTGAGATGTTGAAAGCTCCTAGGGGACGAGAGAAAACTCAATATCAGCATATTTGCATAATTTCATTCGTCTTTCTTTATCTAAAATTCTGGTATATTGAAAAGAGAGGAAAACTTAATATCAGCATATCTGCATGATTTTATTCCTTTCTTTATCTAAAATTCTGGTATATTGAAGTAAGAGTTTATGGGTGGGTTTTAATTTTTTTGAAAACGTTTAGGCATAGGAATAGAGATTTGTTTTGCAGCTGATGGTAGTCTTTATGACTTAGATCAGGTTGATCATCGAGTTCCTGACTTTAATGTGATTCCTGTGGGGTAGAGGTGGATATTTGGAGTATGCATTTAAGAGTATCCTCCTAGGTAGCCTTTACGGTGTGTGACCAACGGGTGTGTTAGTGGCATCCCCACCGCGGGTGGCTGGATTGTGGCATGGCTCCCCAGCCAGCTGCCATGGTTTGTTCTGTTCCCCAACACCTACCTCGTACTCCTCCTCCTCAGCTGTCTGGACGTTGCACCACTTGGCGATGGGCTCGGGGATGATCTCCCACTCATCGCTGTGCTTCTCCAGCAGCCTTACAAACGTTGACTTCCCTGCAGCTGCGGAGGGTATAAAAAGCTGTCTGAGGGTGCGGGTCGGACTGGTCTGACAGAGATGGCCGGGTTGCTGTGAGGTGTCCTGTCCAGGCCGTGGGCAGCGTGGCTGCGGTGCGTGAGGCGCAGGGCAGCCCGGGCGGGCTTTGGGGAAGGCTTGGCGGGCCGCCTTGTCCGCCTTCCGAGAAAGCGGCGCTAATCTCCAGCGCCAGAAGCGCTGCGTGTGCCTGGCCGCCGATAGGGACTGGCGGGGGCCTCCATTTTAGGAGCAGGCTGAGGCCGGGGCGGGCCATGGCGGGGGTGCTGCCCGCGCATGCGCGGCGCGGGGGCGAAGGGGGGGAACAAACATGTCGCCGCGCGTGCGCGGTGCGGGCGGGAGCTGGCGCCGGCGGGCGGGAGTGTGGCGCAATGTCGGGCCGGGGCGCGGGGGGCGGCCTTGTCGTGCCCAGGCTCGGTCCTTGGGCGGGCCGCGAGTGCGGGGATGGCCCCGGGGGTGGTGGGGTGTGTGTGTGTGTCTCCCGTCCCGGGGAAGGACGGGATGGTTGTTGCCTTCAAGCCCGCCCACCGCGGACGAGGACAGTGTGTCCTCACCGTGTCCGGCCCGGTTCCCCTCTCCCTTCCCCGGGCGATGGCGCCCATTCCCGAGTACCGCCCTCAGCGAGCGGCTGAGCGGCGGCCGCGCTTCTCCTTCAACCGCATCCTCCCGCCTTCACGCGGAGGCGGGTGGAAAGGGCCCCCGGCCGCCCCTCTCCCCACAGCGCCTGCGCCGCCATCCGCGCTCCCTCGGGGCTCTCCCGAGGCCCCCGCTTCCCTCCCCCGTCGCGCTCACCGATGTTCCCCTCGATGGAAATCTTTCGGAGGCGCTTCTGGAAGCTGGAGTCGAGGGAGCCCGTGGGGCTGCGGCACTGCCGTTTGGCGGGGGTGGACATGGCGGCAGCACTCGGGGCCTCCGGCTGCTCCGGCCCGCTTTAAGCTTCCCGCCAGCGGTGGGCGGGATGGCGGCCGCCGCCACTCCCCGGGAAGAGGCGGAGGCGATGCCCCCTCCCTCCTTCCCTCCCCGCCGCGGTGGGCGCCGGGCCGGGCCGGGGGAGCGGGGCCGCCGCCGATGGGGATTAAACCCGGGTGTGGAGTGAGTGAAGTCGGGCTGAGCGGCTGAACTTAATGTCAAACGGTTCCACTCACTGCTTCGATTTGCATTAACGTGTGCGAGTTCTCCGTGTTGTTTGGTTCACAGACATGAATTTGAGAACATTATCTCATATTATTTTTCAAAAATCCTCCAGCTGTGGGGGGAGGCAGTTGTTATGGTCCGGTTGGGTGTTTGTTAAACATTTTACGCGGCTCTGTGAGGGCTGAGGCCGGGCAGGTTTGCAGCGAAGGGGCTGAGCGAGGGTCGCTCACCCTCGGTGTGGCGGCAGAGACACACCACACGCACAAAGGGCTCGGTGCTGCTGGGAGCAGCTCGGCTCCTGGTCCCCTGCCAGCGCTGGGGAGTCTGCCTGACTCCTGGCACCGGTTCCATCACCTGTGGGCAAGCCCAGACACGGATCGCGTGTTCATTGCAGGGTAAAGAGAGGGGATGGAGGATTCTCAAACGATGGAGTTTTTAGGGGTGCAACTCTCTGAGGCTGCGTGACTGTAGTTACTCCTGTAACTTCCTGCTGCCTCTCTTAAAAAACGAGATTCAGGGTGAAATCTAGCTAGGTCTGGTGTGTTTGGAGGAGATGGGAGGGAGTTATATTTTCCTTTCTTTTATGATAATTGTGACCCGTGTCTCTTCTTTCCCCCATCTCCTACAAACACACCAGGCTTCAGTGACCGAAGCGAGCAGATTGTTTCACGTGGGGTAGCGTCAGCATTTGAAGCTGGTAAGTGCTAGTTCCCACACACCTCTCTGTGCAGCCAGACTCTCCCCTCCCACGCGTGCCGTGCCGCTGCGGGGGAGGTGGGCCGAGTGTCGGTACCGGGGACCGGCCATCCTCCTCCTCCTCCCCCCCCCACTACCACTACCATCCTCCCACCTCCCCTCCCCGGGGCCGGGCGGCGGAGGGCGGCCGGGGCATGCGCGGTGAGGAGCGCGGCGCTGAGCGGCGCAGGCGCGTAGGCCCGGGCCGCGCTGAGCGCGGGAGCCGGGGCTTTGTTGAGCGGGGAGGGGGGGGCAGGCAGGAGACGCATGCGCACAAGCTGCGGGGGGGCGGGTGGAAGAGCCTAGGCTTAGCCAGGACGCATGCGCAAACCCCGCGGGCGCGGCGTGGGTGCGTGTCCCGGGGCGGAGGAGCGCGGAGCATGCGCAGGTGGGGGGGGGGCCTGCGGGGCGGGGCCGGGGCCCGCCGTCGGCGGGGGGAACCGCAAGTCGTGGGGCCCACCAGGGTGGTGTGCGGGGTCGGGGTTCTTTGTGCGGCGGAAGGCCCGGCCCAGCGGAAGCGGGACTACCCGCCGCCATTTCCTAGCGCGCTCTCGCCACAGGCTCGCCCGCTCGCTGCCGCCTGACTGGGACTAGGCGCTCTCCGGACAGCGGATCAGGCTCGGAGCCCTAGAACCACCGCGGAGCCCCACCATGTGTGCGTGCGGGGACGGGGGCTGGGCGCGGGCCGGGGGGGGCGGGCCAGGCCAGGCGGGAGCGGCTGTGTGTGTGTGAGGCGGGCAGCGGTCCGAGGTAGAGGAGGCTCGGGGGTGGGTGGGTGCAGGCCAGGGGGGCCGCCGGGCGCTCTGAGGGGGTGCGGGTGGCGGCCGTGCTGTGCAGCGTCTCAAAGGACTTGCTTTGGTTTTCTTCAGCAACCACAGAAACCGAGACGGAGCAGAGCCTCACCCCCAATGTGATGCTCAACACGGAGAGCAGCGAGGGATATGTGGTGAAAGTCAGGGGGCTGCCTTGGTCCTGCTCCACCGAGGAGGTGCAGAGGTTTTTCTCCGGTAAGTACAACTGTGGGGGGAGAGGGGCCAGACTCTCAAAATTCTAGGTTTCCTCGTGGGGACGCTGCAGCAGTGGGAGTACTGCAGCGAGTAGTTCCAGAGAGCGTTTAGGGCACTGCAGTAGCTGGTGAAGTTTGTAGTGCATCAAGTACCTTAGCTGGGATGCAGGGTGGAAAGCTATGCTTTTGCTAGCAGGAACTAGACACAAAGGAGCTTACTCTGGGACTTTCTGGGATAGCCACAGCTGCCTTAGCTTTTTGAGCAGTCTGAAAGAGAAGCTTTTGTTTTAAAGAACACTTCAAAATTTTTGCTTCAGATTGAACTAGATCAGTTTAGTTCTTGATGCTGTCCTAATAGGCTCTCTTGTGTTAAGTGTTCAGTGTATCCTGTCCTTTCCCTAAATTAATAAGTAATAAGTAGAGGTGATAAATACATGCTTTTTTCGGGGGCTGGAGATTTTAAAGCTGCTTCAGGGGTCTAGTGTATTGGACTTGGTTCTGATTTAGTTCGTTAGGCTTACCCTGAATGTTACCAGTCACTTCATGCTGATGAGGAGGCTTAGTTCAGTTATGATCAGAAGCAGATAGCATGTTCAACTTGAGGCAGCTGAGCTTTGAGAATAGATAGCTAATTTGTATTTATTCCTGATGTTTAGGTAATCTTCAGACTTGGCAGGAAGAAGAATTTGATTTTACTTAGTCCCTTAGTTTATTGCTCTATATAAAAATTACAGCTGCTGGTTTTGTTATCTTGGGTATAATTTGATAGTTGTTTTTATTTTTTTCCTTTTAGAATATCTGAAACCTTTAAGGTCACAATGTTCACAATTAATTCTGGCCTTTTGTTTCATTTTCAGACTGCAAAATTCTAAACGGGGCGTTGGGTATCCGTTTCATCTACACCAGGGAGGGCAGACCAAGTGGAGAAGCATTTGCTGAACTTGAATCAGAGGAAGATGTGAAATTGGCACTGAAAAAAGACAGAGAAACAATGGGACACAGATATGTTGAAGGTTTGACTCAGTTGGTCTAGTAACTGACTAAATGTGTTTGTGCTGGATGGGTTTTTAGTTAATTGCTGTTTTTGTCTCTTTAAAATGCATGTGAAAGGACAAATGGACTTTTATATCATAAGTTGACTAGTTTCAAGGCAAGTGGCTTTTAAAACTGTTGTGTATTGCAGATTGCATTAATTCTAAGTGCCTTTTACAGTTTTCAAGTCAAACAACGTTGAAATGGATTGGGTTCTGAAGCATACTGGTCCCAACAGCCCCGATACAGCTAATGATGGTTTTGTACGTCTTAGAGGACTCCCATTTGGCTGTAGTAAAGAAGAAATTGTACAGTTTTTTTCAGGTATGTGGGATAAAAGTAGTAGCTGTAGCACTATTGGTCTGTGCAAAAAAAAAAATACCAATCACCACGGATTGCCCAGTAGTACTTCCAACAGTGTGCTGATGGGTATTAAAAGGAAATAAGCAATTCTTCGTTAGTTATTTGGCCTTGAGGGATCACTTCCTAAAGTACTTCTTTGTTAAATAATTGAGGGAACTCCACAAAGCTGCTCTAATTTATACTTAGAGGTCCATACTCTTCCACGTAAAGGTAGCAGGAAACAAGTGTCTTGCTTTCTAAATTCAAAGTGAACGATTCAGGTGGGAGGATATTTCCACCCACAGCCTCAGCTGGCTCACGCTGCTCAGGGAAGGATTTAGAAACACCAGGGCATGCATCGTGCTCGTGGTTACTTGTGTAGATTTAGTACTGGATAAGATTCCAGGGAAAAACAGCCTGCTGAGCTCCAGCCAAATACTGATTTCCCCCCTTCCCACTCCCTTTCCTAGGGAAAGAAGAACCAAATTTGATACTGTCTAGCCTAAAGTTTTTTTTGTAGGCGAAGAGATAATGTCTTGCATTGACTCATTCTCACTTTTTTGCAGCTGCTTTATGTTTTAGGAACTGGAATACTATTATAAATGCCTAAAAATGAAATACATTGATTTACCTAGGAATTAACTTGGTAGTATTTTTGAAGTAGTAGGTTTCTAAATGTGAGCATTAAAATCACCTGGAATGTTTTGCTATAACAACATACGATTGACCATACTGTTTTGATTTAAAATACAGTAGAAACATTTCCAATTCTGCAACTTCAGAACTTGTTTTTTGTTTTCTGAATCAGTAGTATATTGTGAACAAGAGCAATTCCTGAGCATGTGCATTTTAAGTTGTTTTTTTTTCTTACGTGGTTAAGTGATTCAAGCTTTAAAAACTGTTAATGTGCTTAATATACAAAATGTGCCTCTTTTGTTCAGAAACTAATACTTTTGAAATTACTTCATGATTTTTTCTTAATTAAGCACTCCTAAAGATAAAAAAAAATTAATGCTGAAGCTTGATGTTTGCATAAGACTAATTATTTTACCTGAGTGACTTCTAGTAAAAATACTTGTTATGTATATAAAGCTGTTTAACTTGCTGTGTTTGAATTGACGCTATCTTAAAAAGTTCATCTTAAATACTTTCACAGAATTGAAGAGGTTTGTAAATATGTGAACTTCTTAATGCACCCTGCATTAGATGCTTTGTCTGAGGAGTGGTCTGTGACACTCAGGACGTTTCTGTGCTCTGCAGGGTGGGTTAAGAAGGAAAACTGAATGGTATGTGATCGTGGATCTCTTTCTGTTGACGTGCTTTTTCTTCTAGTGTTCTAGAATCAACATACCATTCACTAACAAGTGTTAAAAATTCTGGTGTATTTAAAGCTATAAGAAAAACTCATGACTGGGCTTGTGATGTTAATATTGCCCCCCTACTGGGGTTATTTGTCCTTGGGTTGAAGGGTTGGAAATCGTGCCAAATGGGATAACATTGCCGGTGGACTTCCAGGGGAGGAGTACGGGGGAGGCCTTCGTGCAGTTTGCTTCACAGGAAATAGCTGAAAAGGCTCTAAAGAAACACAAGGAAAGAATAGGGCACAGGTGGGGATGGATGGTTGGTTGGCTATGTCACTTTTCTTATGGTAAACAATTAAATCCATATTCTCTCTTCTGAAAGTATTAACATCCAAAAAGAAACAGTATTTTGGTCTTGAATTCGGTAATCAGTAAAGGTAACGCAGATGTGCGTGTGGCACAGGCTGTTTGAATCTACCCAAAAGAAAAGATAAAATTGGGCTAAGCTTAATTAATTAAACGTGCTCGTTCTGGAGGAGTGCAAAACTGATAGCTTGGAAGTGACAAAGTTGAGAGACTATGGCTTTAACTTCTCAAATAGCACCAATGATGCCTTTAGCTCTAAAGACATGCACAGTACTCTTATTACCATAAGAAAATGTGATACTTTCTAAACTTGTTTTATAAGTTGAAATGTAACAAATTTTCTTACTGTATTAATCTTCTGTGTAATAAGCATAGCTTTCAAGAAATTGTCACAAAGGGTTTTTATTCTATTTTACTTGTGACTATTTTTCATTGAAGCATGCACTTTTTGCCTACGCTGAATCCCTGAAGCGTAGGCTGGGTTCACTAGCACATGCAGAGCTTTTCCTAGCATCCTGATGGGTTCAAATCCTGGTGGAGACCGGGGTTTTTAACCCTCTGTTTACGTTGCCACCTGAGCAAAACAGTGCTGAGTTGAGCGGACGTCGGTCCCTCCTACGTTTTTTGACTAACACTTAAAATTGGGGGGAGGTGGGTGGGGAATCAATATTGCTCCCCCGCCCTTAAGGTTGGGATACTGCGAAGTATGAGGAGCATGTAAACCCTTCAGTAATTGTAATTTCTTGAAAATACACTGATTTGAAAGTAACGTAGTGCTTATAATAGTATGTCATTGCCTACATAATAATAATGTTAAGAAACCTGGCTTAAAAACATACCGCCAGTTTTGAGGCTATGACTACCTGGCTTGTTTTAATGTGAAGTTGTGAGGTTTGTGGAAGGAGCCGAAGACTGACTTCTTTCTGTGGAACCACTTGTAGGTACATTGAGATCTTCAAGAGTAGCCGAGCGGAAGTGCGCACTCACTACGACCCTCCACGCAAGCTGCTGGCCATGCAGAGACCCGGTCCTTACGACAGACCCGGTCTTACGCGGGGATATAACAGTCTTGGTAGAGGAAGTAGCTTGGAAAGAATGAGGCGTGGAGCTTACGGAGGAGGTAAGGAGACGAAGTCCAAGAGGGAGCTGCTCATCTGAGAAGCAGCAACACTTGGACCCTGGTAGTGTCTTCCCCTGCTTTGTAACTGCTGGTTTGTATTATGTCCTTGGCTGTGTTTCTTCTAGAAGAAATGGAAGGTTCTAATACAAGTTGTCTGCGGTGTGTTCGTGTGTGTTTGGCTCTTGCTGTAGTTGAAATGAACATGTTGTCCAATCTATTTATAGGTTATGGAGGTTATGATGACTACAATGGGTATAATGATGGCTATGGTTTTGGTTCTGATAGATTTGGAAGAGGTAAGATTTCTCTAATAGGAACTGTAACTAAACTTTCAATACATTCCAAAAGAAACTAAAATACATCTGAAAGACCTAGAATGGACTCTTTTCTCTGCAGGAATGTCGGACCACAGATACGGCGACGGGGCATCCACCTTCCAGAGCACGACTGGCCACTGCGTCCACATGAGAGGTCTGCCTTACAGAGCTACGGAGAACGACATCTACAACGTGAGTCCCAAATCTGCTCTTTCCTTTCATGCATGGCTTTAAGAGCCTGCCATCGTTACTGGGCACGTCAGCTGTGCTGCAGTTAATGAGTGCTTCCTTTAGAGGCCTTTAGAGCTGTTGCATTGGTGCGTTTTAATCTGTGTGACTTTTGCATGTAGTTCTTCTCACCTCTGAACCCTGTAAGAGTACACATTGAAATCGGACCAGACGGCAGAGTAACCGGAGAGGCAGATGTTGAATTTGCTACTCATGAGGATGCAGTGGCCGCTATGTCCAAAGACAAAGCAAATATGCGTAAGTACGACCGGTCTGAGTACCTGGCTTTAGGGGAAACGCAGCGCCGCGGTGTCGTGTGTCTGCTGTAACTGCAGTGCCAAAGGTTTTATTGTCACGAGGCAAACTGTGTGGGTTTGGTGTGAAACGCTCTCACGGCAACACTTCTTTTGTCTTCCAGAACACAGATATGTAGAACTCTTCTTGAATTCTACAGCAGGAGGAAGTGGTGGTGCCTATGGCAGTCAAATGATGGGAGCAATGGGTATGTGTAAAGGGTCTAACTGCGCTTCTAAACGAGCAGTTGCTATTGCAAAGGAAGCTGGCTAATGTTCTGCAGCTCCTGCTTATTCTATGCCTGGCGTAAAAACTGAAATCCAACATTCTGTCTTAATCACAGTCAAGGAATCGGAAGGGGTAGTCCAAGATTGGAACACTAGCACATTGCCAGGTATATAAACCTTTTGGGAATAATTTGAACAATGAATAGGTTAAATAAGCTGAGGCACTGAATGTGGTCTGTGCGTGTGTGTGTGTGGTGGGATGAGTGGCCCCCGGGAGCGCGGTGGTGCGGGAGTGACGCGGGAGACGCCTGTCCTCTGACTCTTCCTTCCCCTCCCTGTTTCTGGAGACCGGGACAGAGTCTGATGATGGAGGGTGTATCTGTGGCATGAAGGCCCTTCAAACCTGGTCTTGGTGGAGAGGGGGAAAATCTATTTGGAATTTGGAGAAACTGTCTGAATTGCTCTAGAAAACTCTAAAATTGTTTGAAATTTGCAACACGAGCCTAAAGCTGCTGTTGTGCCTGTGAAGCAGATACCCTTCTTGATACCCGACGTGTCTGGTTCCTTAGAGATGAAGGCGGTGGTTGGTTTGGGGGGGTTTCTTTCTGGAGGGGGGGGATGTATGTGCGTATGTAGATACTCTGCAGCTTTTGTAGTATTTTGATTGTAAAATGTTTGAAGCCTAATGAAGTCTTAACCACAGAAGAGCTTTGTGGGAGCGTAGACAAGTGAAGAGGGGGAGTCAGTAGGCTTGGGTGGGGGTCCCCCGCAGCGCTGCTGTGAGTCTGCCCGGAGTGTGCCCGGCCAAGTAACCCCAGTTAGAGAGTCACCACGTCTCCGGGCGCTGTCACAGCCTGGTCTGAGCTCCCATGAAGCCCAGTTTGAGTCTCCTGGGGTGTGTTTTGGGTACAGCAGCACATTGATCCATAGGAAATGCAGAAGTAAACCCGCCCATGAGTGTTTGAGAGTCACAAGCACCTGCTGTAATTCTTGAATTTCCTGTTGCTGCTTGATTATAGGAGTGTCTTTACAAACCTGGTCATCTACCTTGAGCTTGTTACCTCAGGAAACTTTTTCCCTAGGTATGTAGGTGAGAGAGAGCTTAGTGCTGGGGGTTGTTAGTTAGGAGAAGGGTGGGTTTTGTTGATAATGAGCAGACTCTTTTTTGAGGCGCAGACTCTTTAACCATTTTATCCTTAACTTAAAAGGAAGCCAATCCAGTTATGGTGGTCCAGCTAACCAGCAGCTGAGCGGGGGTTACGGAGGAGGATATGGTGGTCAAAGCAGCATGAGTGGATATGGTAAGAGCATTTCCTCACTGGTTTTAGGTGGGCCGAGCGCAGCTGGCTTAGCCAGCCTGGAGGGGCTGTTTGGTGGCTGCTGAAGGGTCACAGGACAGAGCACAAGCCCTGTGACTTGGCTGTCGTGGATTTGAGAACTGGAGGGGGATGGATTCAAAGCAGGAACTTGGAGCTGAGGGAGGGAGATGTGGGGAATGATTCCGAAAAGGGGGAGGAAGTGGTGGATCTCCAGACTTCCCGTTCCTCCGGTTCTGGGTGCGGAAGCTGGAGACCAGGGCAGAGGAGGAGGAAGGGGGGGAGGGTGTTTGGGAGGCTGGGTGCTCTCTGCCTCCGCACAAGGAGGGGGATGGATTCAAAGCAGGAACTTGGAGCTGAGGGAGGGAGATGTGGGGAATGATTCCGAAAAGGGGGAGGAAGTGGTGGATCTCCAGACTTCCCGTTCCTCCGGTTCTGGGTGCGGAAGCTGGAGACCAGGGCAGAGGAGGAGGAAGGGGGGGAGGGTGTTTGGGAGGCTGGGTGCTCTCTGCCTCCGCACAACACTGAAGGCGAAGGGAGGGCGAGGCAGAGCTGGCTCTTCGTTGAACAACCGATAACACTTGATGTTGGGTCCGGAGCTGTAATGAACTGACGCTTTGCAGTGTTGGGCACGGTAGATGGTGTTTACGCGGTGGCCCAGCAAGGACAGGCGTTGGGGGAAGGATGCTACGAGTCTGCCTGAGCCAGCTGTGAACCTGCTGTCGGTTTTCCCCCCCAGACCCCGGGAGCCAGGGCGCCATGAACAGCAGTTACTACAGCAGCGGGAACCGCGCGTCCATGGGAGTGAACGGCATGGGCGGCATGTCCAACATGTCCAACATGAGTGGTGGCTGGGGAATGTAACCAATCGCTGACTTTTGGGTCGCATCTTTTTTTAAAAAACAAAAAAACAAAAAACTAAGTTTAACAGTTTTGCAATACAAGCTTGTGATTTATGCTTTACTGTAAGTGGATTCAGGATTGTTATTTTAAAACCTTTCAGGTTCAGTATTTTTGAACGTACAGAAATGAACATTCATCTAGGATGTAATAACCAAGTTGAGTAAAGACTATAACTGTTAAACAACTCTGAGCGTTTCTCAAGTTAGTTTCGTTGTAGGAGTGTATTTAAGCAGTTAAGCGTATTTAGGTTAAAGCTGTTTGAATTATGTTAAATGTTGCTCTTATACCATATTACATCCAACACTGTTTTGAATACATGTTGAAAGAGACATGCTTTTTTGTAAAGAAACAATATAGGGGCTGTGTCTGAAATTCAAAGTGAACATTTGGCATGTTAGTTCTAGTTTATTTCTTTTAATATCCTGTAAGGCACGTTAAAGCTTTTTTTTTTTTAAGTTAATGGGGGAAACATGTTGAGACGCAATACGGCTACTTTAGGATTTTGGTCTTGGTGTTCGTATAAAATTCTGAGGCCTTGATTTAATCTTTCATTGTATTGTGATTTTCCTTTTTAGGTGTATTGCGCTAAGTGAAACTTGTTAAATAAATCTTCCTTTTAAAAACTGGAATTCAGTCCTTCTTGCCCTCCAGCTTCTGGGGTGTGGCTGCTACACCCGCAGAAGTGTCCCCGTGCTCCAAGGTGGGCACTGTCACCTCTCCCAGTGACAGCTCCCCCCTCAAAGCTGCCCTTGTGGGGGGTTGGTGAAGAAAAGCAGCACCCGGGGGTGCAGAGCGCCTGTTGGTGTGAAGGGCCCCAGGGCAGTGCTTGGGGCAGGGTCCCGGGGGGGATTCTGTACTTGCTGGGGGTGTCTCTTAGGAGCCAAAGCGCTGCATCCACTGACTCTGCTGCAACCCTGGTTCAGTAAATTCACCTTGTTGATGAACATCACACTGAAACATGGCTTTATAAGCAGCTGAGTTTGAGAAGTGCTGGAACTTCCCCTGAAATAATAAGGCATCTGCTGCCAGGCATTTTGCCACTTTGGGCAAATTTGGATTCTGTACTTCTGGGGGTGTCTCTTGGGAGCCAAAGCACTGCATCGACTCACTCTGCTGCAACCCTGGTTCAATAAATTCACCGTGTTGATGAACATCACACTGAAACAGGGTTTTATATGCAGCTGAGTTTGAGAAATGCTGGAACTTCCCCTGAAATAATAAGGCATCTGCTGCCAGGCATTTTGCCACTTTGGGCAAATTTGAACCATTCTTCCCTAAGGGTTAGAAATCAGAAAAACACACCATGGGGGTTTTGCAGCAGCGGAGCTAGAGGGGGTGAATCCTGAGAGCTTCTTGCTGCGGTTGGGGTTGTCATTGCTGTTAGAGCCCTGTTCCATTCCTGGGATGTGAGGGATGTGGTGGGGTTGGTGCTGGAGGTGGTGTCCCTGCTGAGCTCACAGCAGAGCTGGGGAAATTAAACAGCCCAAGGGCAGAGCGGGGTCTTGCCTTGGCTTGTCCTGTTCCAAATGAAGCCTCTGTGCAGGACGTGTCCCTTGCCCAGAGCTGCTCTGCACCGCGGGCACTCACCCGGCAGCACGGGTGCTGCTGGGGACATGGGGGTCCCTGCCCAGCTCCACTGTCCCCACTGGTGTAACTGGACAGCTCTGAGCTGGTGGTTCATTAACACCGTGTGGCAAACTGTACTTCTGACTGTCTCATTAACCTCATTAATGAGAGCCATGCACCCTTGCTGATACATGCTGGGGTCACTCCCAGCTCCACTGTCCCCACTGGTGTAACTGGACAGCTCTGAGCTGGTGGTTCATTAACACCGTGTGGCAAACTGTACTTCTGACTGTCTCATTAACCTCATTAATGAGAGCCATGCACCCTTGCTGATACATGCTGGGGTCACTGCTCACCTTCCTGGGAGGCCGGGAAGCCGTTGGCTGCCACTGCAGAGCCTTGGCTTTGCCTGGCACCTCCCACGAGAACACCTTGAGCTTCAACTTGTTGGTCAGTTATTCAAGATCACCTCACACTGTGCGGGGCTGTACAAGAACAATCTCTTCCAGGATCCATCACCAACAGCTGTCAGAAATCACAACTTCATTCTCCATTCCAGTTTTTGCAAAAGGCTTTATTGTGTAACCGCCGTACTGTGGGCACAGCCACTCCGAGCAAGTACAGGGTGTAGGTTTTGACTCTGCAGTGAACAGAAGGCACATTCATCGACACTCATCATAAAGCTCTTTCTATAGACAATTAATAAATTGACCTTTCTCTGTACTTAGAGCAAATACAAAACTGTACAGGAGCCAGTGAGACACAGGAGCGCCTGCGGCGGGGACGGGGGGGAACAGAAGTTAATGTGCAGAAGGACAGCGACGTCTAGAGGGATCAAATAAATGTAGAAATGCCATATACAAATTTTAATACAAATACCTACAAAAGTCAGAAAAGTGAATTTGCATTTTAGTTTCAAATAGAACTTGAAGGGAAATTACAGCTGATAGATTATTTTTTTTTTAATCATTCCAGTTGGAGGAATATTAGTGTGCATAATCCCTACAAATTATTTTACACCGCTCTGTTTGACAGTGGATAATATTAGTGCCCAGGCAGCCTGCCCCGCAGAGGGTGGTGCCTGCAATTCAGAATTAAAAAAATAATGGCTACTTTTCCAATGTTGAAGTGGTCCTGTCAGGGTTAGGGAAGCCTTAGGAGGAATTAGACGAACACCGCTGAAGGAGTAAAGTGTGACAGGTATCGCAAACACGGACAGGCTTCGGGTACGACGGCAGCGCCAGTTCGTTACTGGAACACGTGTTGCAGAAGATGTCCCCGCAGTTTCTGCAGTGATGCTGCAAACAGAGAGGCAGAGTAAGCACAGCCCCAAAAACCCGCCTCAGGAAGAGAGAAAGCAGACCTTAGAAAAGCTTCTGGAGGCCACTGACATCACCCTCCGGTTCCCCACAGGCCCAGCCCTCCCGGCAGCACCTCCTCCTGTGCAGAGGATGGAACCCAAGCGGGGTGACCCCTGCACACCCCAGCTTCCTTCCCTCCCTCCTTCCCTGGGGTGACCCCCGCACAGCCTGGCTTCCTTCCCTCCCTCCCCGGGGTGACCCCTGCACACCCTGGTTTCCCTCCCTCCCTGGGGTGATCCCCGCACACCCCGGCTTCCCTCCGCGCTGCCGTGTCAGAGCGTGGCTCCCCAGCAGCCGGGTGGGCTTTCAGGAGGGCAGGCAGAGGCTGGTCCAGGGCTGCTGGTGTCCCAGCTGTCCCCAACCACCGAGCAGGACCCCCCCAGCAGCCACAAGGGCCCCCTCACTGCACACCTTTCAGGGAGACGAACCACCACAGGAACACAGCCCACAACAGCTCCCTACCATGAAGATTACTTTTAGGATGGGAAATACCAAATGACTTCTCTATGTATTTCTCATGCCAACAGGGTGTGGAATTGAAGCAGTGTCATCTTCCCGAGCCAACCAGGCCACAGACCAATTTTTGTTTTCCATGACAAAAGGAAAAAAAATAAAATCCACTGAACATCCCTACCTTCCTCCTGGAGATAGAGAACTCCTTCTCGCATTGCTTGCAGTGTGTCGCTTCGTCATCCTTCAGCCAGGTATGGCCCTAGAAAATCGGAACGAAAACCTCACTGTACATACAAATAAATTTATAAAATAAAAATCAAAAGGCAGCTTACCAACATCGTTGGTATTTTTCAAAAGCTATCTTTTAAAGGAGGATAAATGTGGTGAAATTTGATTGTGTTGAATGAAATGTGTATGTTTAGTCAAAGTATCCATGAGATGCAGAGTACCTTCAGCGCTTTATTTACTTCTTTAATATCTTCCATCTTCAGCTTCGATCTGGGAAAAAAAGTAAGAATTACTCCCTCTGTGTGACTTTACATTTAGGTGTTCAATGTCACCTGCCATTCCACAGTCCAGCCACTGAACCTGAACTGTAATTCCTCAGTCAGGGCCCTGTTACAAGCTCTGAACCAGTTGGTGTCACTGGGAAGCTCTCTCACCTCAGGGTTTGTCCCCTTTTTAGTGTATTCAGAAAAATGGGGGAAAAGCACAGTTCTGCTGTAAGAACTCAGCATTTACTGTATCGTTTCCTCTCTCAGCCATCTCACTCATGCTTACTCAAGATCCTTTCTTCCCCCACTTCTATTTCATGGCTGTTTCGTTTCCCTTGTGCAGCAATTGCCTCCTAAAATTCTCATGGTTGTTAATTTTTATAACTGGACGTGTTTAAAAATTATTTGTATCAGTTTGATGCTCCATTCTCCAGGTTACCTCATGTAGAGGAGCTCAGTCCCCAGAACTTACTGGCTGAGATGAAGTCCCATTTCCTGAAGGGCTTGCTCCTGCTCCTCACAGACTTTCTCTAACTGCTGCTTCTCATCTTGCAGTTTTCTCAGCTCCTACAAAATCAAGCACAAAATCAAGTTTGTTGTGTGCTGAGTTGGACCTATAACTTAGGTTGGTTGATCTAAACTACCCAAGCACTTCACAAGAATAAGCTCCTTTACAAAGCTCCCTATTTGTAAGGCTTGAGTTTTAGAATTACAGGGGTGAACCATCCATGGGTTCTTGTAGAGCACACACAATGAAATCTTTTAACCACATTTACCAGAAAGAGAGAAAGCTTTTCAGGCTTTAAACATCCCTGGGCACAGCTAGAATGCAGCAGTCCCATGCCCACACATACTGGTGTACAACTGTGCCCTCAAAAGCTAAACTGCTCGATACAGAGAAGCAAATTCTCTTTAGGCTAACAAGAATGCTCATGCTTAAAAAGTAAATTGCATTCAGTTGTTTTGAGTGCTTGAGAACATGTTCTTATTTTATTACATAGAGCTGAAAGACCTCAGGCTGTCTCTAAAAGTTCCGAACTTGCCACTTCCTCCCTGAGCAGGAGTATGTCACCGTGGGACAGCTGATGAGCGTTTTGTCCCCCCTCAGGTTCAGCTGCGGCTGGTGAGCGGCTCAGACGTGCAGCCAAGGCAGGGCAGGCACAAACCTCCTCAGCCTCCTCCAGCTACAGCTGTTTTCACTGCCTGAGCCCTCTGCTGGCATTTCATGTGCAAGTTTGTGTTACAGCAGCTGAGGTTTTGAAACCATTCACAGAAGAAACACTCTACTAGAGATGCAAACATTGCCCTGGTTCTAGGTCAGCTTTAATCCTCAACACATTTACACTGCACTTACCTTTTTCAGTCCTTCCATTTGTTGCAGTTCCGTTTTAAGCAGAGTTGCAGCATCCTTCTCTTGGTGTAGTTCTTTTTGCAAAGTTTGTCTCTGTTCCTTTTCAGATTTTAACTCCTTTTCCAGAGTTGAGCTATTTAAAAATAATTCATTCTAAGAAACCCTATAGCAGAAAAATATCCTATAGCACTTAAGGATAGCAACAGCATGAGAAGAAGAAACCTTGTCCAAAAGAGGGCAAAAACTAGAGTGGTGTTCTGGGAAAGGAAAAAACAGGGATGTTATGGCAGCAGACATCAGAAACTGTAATAGCAATTTCAGGTCACAAAAAACAAGCAGCAATGGATGGCTAGAAGAAAAAGACAACAAACAAAAAAAACCAAACCAAAACCAAAACCGATCCC